GGAGGATGCAGCCCATGAATTTGGACATGTCCAGAGTATAATCGCAGCCTTTGCGGTTAGAAAATTGCACTTGATCATGTCGCGATATTATCGCAAATGCGATATATCGTTCAGCCCTACTGAAAACCGATAAAAACCAAACATTTCACACCTGAGCCTCTACTCTCACGGCCCGGTACCAAACGACTCACGGACCGGTACCGGTCCGAGGCCCGGGGGTTGGGGACCGCTGACTTAGGATACCTTTTATTTCCAGGGATGAATTTGAATCAATTAAAAACTGAACTATGTATTTTAGTCAAGACAATGTCTTTAAAACAGTTTTTTTGTTTAGATAGTTGGACGTACAGGATGGACAACAAACTATGTGTGACTCACTATATCAGCCATCAGGGGGTCGTCTGGATTTGGCTCCGCCATGAGTAGCTGTATGGAAGTGAGGACTGTGGAGATGTTTAGAGATGGCTTCCAGGCACCCTGAAAAAAAAATCAAATAAATATAAAGACAACACTACATCTGAAATGTATAAAATGCAACATATATCCTTGTGTCCACCATGTAATGGTGTTGAAATAAAGAGTTTATTATGTACTGGAAATCTGTTATAACCTTTGGTGGCAGTTTAAGAGCATCATGGCAGATCCGTCCTGAATTGTCAATGTTTGGATGGTAGATTGGAGTCAAGAATCGTATTTTGGGAGGCTCAAACGGGTACCTAAGAGAAAAAAAAAAGCATGTCAGTCCTGCTAGAGTGGAGTGAGAACATGTAACTAGTAGAGAGAAACCCATCGACGTTAAAGCTCAAAGAAGTACCTCTCTGGAATCTTGACCTCCAAGGAGAAGACTCCACCATCATAAGGAGTTCCTGATCCACCCAGTATCTCTGGAACATAACAGGGGTTAAAGATATGGTCATGTACTTGATATATTTTAATGACAGGATCCACTGCAAAAATGGATGTCAGAGTGATCTTAATCAGGTGAAATATTCTGAGTATATAGTATAGGTAAATGTATCTTGGCAATTTGTTAGGTACACCTGTTCAACTGTCTGACAATCAGCTAATCACGAGGCATCAACTCAGTGCATTATGGCATATAGACATGATCATTGCAACCTGCTGAAGTTCAAACTGAGCATCAGAATCGGAAGGAAAGCCGATTTAAGTGACTTTGCTAGTAACGTGATTTTGTTAGTGCCAGACATGGTGGTCAGACTCTTTCAGGACCTGCTGATCTACTGAGATTTTCCACATACGCATCTCTAGAATGCACAGAGAAATGTCCAAAATGAAAAATGTTCAGTGAGCAGCAGATCTGGGTCAAAATGCCCCACTGATTTCAGAGGTCAGAGGAAAATGGCTACGCTGGTTTGAGCTGATAGGAAGGAAACAATCCAAAAGAGCCTCGATGAACGCATAACGCATCAAATTTAGAAGCAGACGGGCCGCAGGAGCAGAGACCACACTGGGCACCGCCGCTGTTAAAAATTACGATAGTTGTGACTAAGGCAACACAGAGGTCCAACCTGGTACTAGCAACGCACATAAGAAAGTGTCTGGCAAGTATAGCTTTAGTCGTTTAAGTGACACAGTAGTACATACGTGCCCGGAGGTCGTCTATCTGATCTTCGGTCTGCCAGCATGTTATCCCAGGGGGGGGCTCGGTGCTTAGCATTTGAAGTTCACGTTTCAAACGAGAAGCCCTCTGCATTCTGAAAAACAGGCAGCTGGCTAATTAGCGTTACACTTAAAGTTCGTGGGTCAGTCTCCGCACACGCTTGTAATTATTTAATCCTAAACGTAGAACATTTACTGTCAAATTGCTCAATGAGACAGTGGTTTGTTTGTGATGTTAGCTGCCTTCTTGTGATGCTGAGCTAACGCCTTTGCTTACTAATGTGAAGGCCGAGAAATAAACACCTTCTTAGTGCAAAAAGTCTAATAACAACTTGTCAGGTGGAGAGCACCTCTCGTTTACTTACTTTTTATCAGCTGTGCACTTGATAATCACTGTCTATCTTAATCGAAATGTCAGTTTCACAGCTCTCGGCGAAGCAGCGTCATCGACTCTGTTTTGGATTTCCCTCTCCTTACGTAAGCACCGCCCGCGCGCCGCTCTTCTTCTTCTTCTTCTTCTGTTGGATTTATTCAGATGAATTACCGCCACCGTGTGGTGCCGAGTGTGAGCTACCAGGAGGCTACTTCTGCGCACAAATAACACAGCATCATTTTTATTTTTAATTTAACAGTGTTACAGTGGTCATCCTGCAATCCAGTAGCCTCTCAGCTTGCCGCTCGAAACACTGGCCACTAACCATTCATGTGTATGTGTGAAATGTGATTCTTAGAGGATACTAAAATCACTTTTCATTTATAGCCTTACAAAAAGGAACAAGAAGCGTCTCCTGGTGGCTCTCTGGTCTCTAGTCGGTATTTACTTATAAGGTAATATTTGTGTATTTTCAATATATGAATTTAGTTTTCTTTGTTCTTTTCAAATGTAATTTAAGAGGTTTCAAATAAGGGTGGCATGACAAATGTATACTTTGGTTATACAAATATTGTCTAGGAGTAGGTAATGGATAATAGGTACTGACTTGTAAAAAAAAAAGGGTTTAAAAGACCTGAGCATGTGATCTAATATTGCACTACAATTTACACTACTGTATATCTAACTAACAAAGAAGTTCATCATCTTTTTCTTGACAACACTTTCTTTAAAGATATAGGCATTTTGGGTAAACTTGAATGAAAAGAAGACACATGTGAAATGTAAAAGCGAGATCAGAGGTCAAATATGAAATTATATTTGGAAGCAAACTATAATGTGGTACTGACCCCATATAACAGTATCATTTCCCAAATGTTGCCAGTGCAAAAGTGCAGTAGACTTTATTTTTTATTAAAGTTTGACCTTATTTAACCTCGAAGAAGAAGACAGAGGTCCAAAGTAACGCGATATTTATAATCCCCATGTATAATTAAATGCCTGTATGTCTATATGACAGTACGAAACATAACTGTAATAAGTAACTTGATATCACATTATCACTTGGACCTTCAGATCCATCTGTTGACCCTGAAGGACAGAGGCCAGTTATGATATGACATTTTAAAATCTTTTAAGATGCTTTTTGTGGACTTTACATCCATCAATCATTAAGTTGATGGATGTAAAGTAATTATTAATGGATTGTTAACACGTCCCCACTCTGCAAAGTTTGATCACAATTCATTCAAAAGCTTTTGAGCTATCGTGTTTAAGGACAAAATGACACACACCCCACCGCTACCAAATATATCATTTCTTGGTGGAGCTGACACCATGAGTTTTGTTTTATTTTGACAGCAGAAGCACTATAACGCTTTGGTATCATCTTGTGTGTTTTATTCTTTCTAATTCTTTTATTCCTGTTTTCCATTTATTGCATGATTACACATTCATACAGTTGGGTTTCCTCCATAGAGTTCTTCATTATGTTTTATTTCCACTTTTCACAGTAATGCTGTTTTGAAGCTTTAAAATCACCATACTGTATACTGGTACTGATGTAAGAACATTGCACGTAGGGAATGACAGAAAATGATATAAAACTTCTCATCTGTATATGTTTATCATTATGATAAGTTCAAGTTTATCCATCTTCAAAAGGAAGACCATTAATGACTGATGTAATCACACTAAACTTCATAATTGCATAAGTATCTTATTTGAAGGCAGTGGCAAAGATAGCCTGAAAAGTAATGTTTCTGTCCTGCTTGTCCTCCATTCTAACATCAGTGAAGCCGGAGTCTCTCAGGGCTGCCATGTAGGCCTCTGGGCGCCAATTTTCCCCTGGCATCACCCCCTTCGCTGCTATCGTAGCCACACGAGAAAGCCTCAGAGTTGTGACCATCAGGGCTCCTGGGTGGGTTAAAAAGATGGGGAAATTCAATTTGAGAATCATTATTTAAGGACAAGTTTTGGAACTAAATCTGTAAATCAAGTTTGCCTGACTGCCATGGCATTACCTGGCTTCATCACCCGGTGTATTTCTGCGGCTCCTTTTCTAAGATCAGGCCAGAAGTAGTAGCAGTTACAGTGAAAGACTCTGTCCACAGTGCTGTCTCTGAGAGGCATTGCTGCTACGTCACAGTGGTGGAGCGTCACTTTTTTACTCGCTATAAGTTCCATCATTTGTTTCTTTGCCATCTGTCAGACACAGAAGAATTACAATATTGTCCCTGATTAGCAGCTATGCTTTTCTTAGGTCTTAGCTGCCTGCTCAGCAGTGCTTGATTTTTATTTATTTATTTAATATACAACAAAGGTATGCAGAAGAACGCACAACACATCAAACCTTAAAGAAGCTGGGCCAGACCACACCAGGTGCGATCAGTTCAGAACAGGACATTGTTCACTAGTAGACGCTAATTTGCATGGGCTTGATAGAAGATTGGAAAACTCTGCATGGTCTGATGGTTCATGATTTCTGCTGTGGCATTTAGGTTCAGAATCCTTGGTTTTAACGTAAAACTCATTGTTGCAGCCACGGGCAGCACAAAGGTGACCCCTTAAACTGATTTTAGTCTCATTATGAGTTATTGGTTCTGTTAATAATTAGCTGGCATAAACTCACAGCATCAGTGGAGACATGAGCACATTAGTGATGTCACATTCTCCACTGACACAAGATGGCGCTAAACGTGTTTTAAAAACTTTCTTAAATCCAGCTACACAGACAGTGTTACATCTATGTTAGTTTTGGAGAGCAGGGCTCAGTGATCTAAATTAGATTTTAAACATCAAGTGTTTCATTCTGACTTTAAATGGCCTCCACATCATCTCAGGGGATACCTCTGAGATATGGTGGTATCACTTCATGGGTGTCCAGCAGCCAAATCTGCAGCAACAATGTGATTTTTCCCCTCATGTCAATATGGACCAAAATCAAAGAAATGTTTTCAGCACCTTGTTGAATCTATGACACAGATAACTCAGGCAGCTCTGAAGCCGGTGAAGTAACGAAATAAGTGGCCAGTGTGCGTATTTTCTCCGAAATAGTGCATTTTCTTTTTAAAGGCTTGCAATGTGTCTGCTTTAGCAAGGCTGAAGAGGCCACGACAAAGCTGTGTGCTTTTACTCTTTTTCAAAGACACTCTTCGTAACAGTAACAACCCACATGTATTAAATAAACTTGAATTTGACTTGTTTGTTCCACTCTTTCTACCTCACCTGGTGCATGTACTCTGAGTAATCCACCCCTATAAGGTGGCCTGTGGGGCCCGTGAGCAGTTTGGCTGCAGACTGTAGACCCAGACCGGGGCCATGACCCAGCTCCAGCACAGTGTCCCCAGGTTGGATGGCACACAGCTGCACAGCACTCTCCTCCAGGACCTGATTGTAAGCTGTGAGCCACTTGCTCACCAACCACCCTGCAAGTGATCGCGTGGGACGGCCCAGCTGTTTCCCCAGTGGTTCAGCCCACATGACTAAAAAAACATGAAATATTTGGCTAAAAGTTTCTGCTTTCAGGTTCAGCGGTGTTCAACGTGAGGACACGGTGTATAACATGTTATACGTGGTTCGCCCTCACAGTGTGGCTGGACTTTGCTTATCATTATTTGTTGCGCAGTTAATGTTTAATCCGCTGATTTGTTTTAAAGCCAAGTAGAAGTTTATTAACATTGTTATTACTGAATAACCAATTAAAGTTGAGCACTTGATTGAAACTTGTAGATTTACAGACTCAGAGTATCGGGCCATCATTTTTCTCCGTTCAGGAGGATCCAAACAGCTGACACGGTGCCCTCGCGCAGCACGCAGTTCACACGGGTACAGGACAACATGGCTGCCCCTCTGACTCTCGGTGCCAGTTGCCCGGATAAAGCGCTTACATAGTTTCGTTTACAGTCAGCGCTCGTCGGCTCTCAGCCACGCCGCAGTTTAGTCTTCCTGGTAGTGGGAGGAGCTTGTGCTTCATCGGCGCACGCGCTGCTCCGTTCCGGGGTGTCCTACACCTCTTAAGTATCTCTGGCACTTCTTATCATCGACCACTTCCTGTAGTTTTCTTGTATATTCTGGCCACACGGGTTACCGCTCATGTATGTATTGCGTAATAGCGAAAAAGAAAGAAAGAGAAATAAAAACGATTCAAAAAGTCAAACAAAAATAGGTGTCACCCTCCCTCCACCCGCATTTCATTTATGAAGGAGAGCGTCTGCTGCAGCGCTTCTGTAAATATACTACTGCGTGTCTAAACAAGTGCAGTCAAAGGTTTTGGAAATGTCCTCTGTCGTTGCTTCCTCCAATCATCCTATTTTGCACACACCCCCCTGCAGGGATTATATTTCTTTCGTTTTCATTTCCCGGAAGGGTTGATTGTGAAAATAGTGGCGTTTAAAAAAATCTTCGAGTGTGTCCGTTTAAAAGTGAGTTTTGTTTGAGACGTGACCCGAACTTTGTTTTCATTCTGCTCATGAGGAAATCCCTCTATTTTCTGAGCAGTCGAGCAGATTAAAGGACATCTCCATGGAGAGCGTTTCCCCGTCACCTTTGATCAAGGTAAGTTAGTCTTTCGGGGGCAAATCGTTCAAAGCCTGTGGTCTAAAACCACAAAGCTGGAATCCGACTCAGTTTTTGTTTGAGCTTTCGTGCCTTAGTCGTTGGACGGTGACCAGCAGCTGTTGTTTATGCTCTCTGTCGCTCAGCATTGCTGCTCCAAAACTGCTGAGTACTGTGACTATAGCATTTGTATCGATGTTTTGTAGCAAGAAAACAGTCCTCCATCGATTGTACGTGAAAAGCAAGTCAACATTTATCCCACTGTGCATCACTCCCCACCTACCCAAGATCCTTTGGTTAGTCCTCCCACTCAAGAAGACTTGTGGCATCTGCCTGGAAGGCTGAGTGAGTTAAATGATCCTCTCTGTTCTACTTATCTGTTAATATTAATTGCAGATATGACTGCAAACACACACATACGCAGCACCTTCTGCAAGCACATTAGATGTGAAATGATGCATTTTTTGTTTCCAGGAATTAACCCGTCCCTGTGGGATAAAGATGATGTTTCCCTGTGGCTCCACTGGGCTCAAAAGGAGTACTCGCTGCGCCGGCCGGAGAAGGGCCGATTTGAGATGAACGGCAGAGCCTTGTGTCTCCTCACTAAGGAGGACTTCAGACGCCGCTGCCCCAGCTCAGGTGGACATGAGTTAGTAGATCGAAGTCACCTGTTTCCGTGGCTGCATTTTCATATGAAATCCCTCATTTTTCTGCAGGTGATGTTCTGTATGAGATCCTTCAGTGTGTGAAGCAGCAGAGGAGGAGTGTGGTATGTGACCCGCCTAACACAACTCCTCCCGTGGCAGCTGGACACCTTCAGGGTCCAGTCAGCTGCCAGGTAATCGCTCACACAGTCCAAGAGCCACAGTCTCCCAAAGTCAGTGGCACCCCGGGTGAGTAAAATTAAGGAGCACATTTATAAATATATATACTGCTATACTACAGTTCAGTGTAAAGGCAGACAGATGTATTTGTACACAAGTTGTAGACTCAGAGTGCTTTACATGGGGCAAAAAAGAAAATGCATTAGATCAGCAATAGAACGTAAAAAAAGAAAAAATCGAGTAAAATTGAAAGAAATGACAAGAAACGTAGCAGTGTGTTGTGTACAGTAATTCAACAAAGACACAGGGAGAGAGAAATGTTTTTGTTTAGATTTGAATGTGGCCATGATTGGACACACTGAACATTACCTGTTGGTCTGTGTACAGAATAATAGATAAAAGCACCTTTGGTTTGGTTCTCATCAGAGGCTCTGCCTCTTGTAAAGTTGTAGGAGGATCTCTAGTCTTCAGGAACATTTGTATCCACATAAGAACTCGTTTATTCTGGTTGGATCGTGGGTGTGAATACTTCCTGATCTACCACATGTGCAAACATATCACGTGGGAATCTTTTCTCTTTCCCACTTTTGTTTTACGCTACATGTGAGGACATCCATTGACTTCTTATCCCCCAAATTTAAAGACTGACGCTAATCAATGTTTGCTCACCCCTAACTGAAATGTTTTCCTTTGCTCTGTGCTTTTTCTTCACATGTGAGGAATAGTGATTCGCTGGCAAACCCTCATTATTTTGTGATTGGGTACTTTGATTGACTTCTCTGCAAAAACTGATTTTATTTGCTCACCTAATTACATGATGCGTTAAGCAGTTATCACATAATTTATAATGATGAAGAAATGGAAATGCTGGAGTACCAGAACCATAAATGGTGTATGCGTACACTACACAAAGACACACACCCACAAACGTTTGTCAAGCAAAACAACTGTATAATCTTTCCCAGAAAAAGAATGTGTTGGCCAATGGTCTGCAGTTTCCTGGAAAAAGGATCCTTTAACTCTCAAGTTCAGAAGAATGACTTTGTTCTGCGCTCTGTCTGCTAGAAGTAAAACAGTCTCTGTGTTAAACATTAGCTTGTGCTAAGCCTGATATTATAAAATGTTCATGTGGCTGTAAAGTCACTTTTACTTTCACTTTAGCGTTTCACATTTCCTCATATTTCTGACTCACAGTTTTACCCGCTTTCACCACCGCAGTGTTGGCTGCTGTCGGGGCCACTGTAAGCAGCCAGCCAAAATCAGTGTCAGCCCTTACAGATCGCCCCATCTGCTACACCTTGTCTGCACCACTCACACAAAAGAGTGAGTAATGGACAAATGGCCATAGCAGAAGGAAATTGTCCTGCAATTCCTACTGTTTCAGAGGCTTCATTTCTTTGTTGCCATCTGTGTCTCTCAGACGGATCAGCGGGTACCTCAACATTGCACCACAATCAGGATGAGTGTAATCCCCAAACGAAGAACATCACCCCGGAGCCTCTGAACCTCTCCAGTCGAGATAAGCCAAGGAGTCCGCTGCACAAGGCAAACGGTCGCATCCCAGGTATTGTTACAATAATTTGTTGTCTATTGTGCTCTTCATGTATTTAATCACAGAAAACACACAGAATTGTTAAAACTGTGTCTCTTTAAAAAGTGAAGAAAAAAAATCTCATATATCATAAACAGCATTTTATATACAATCAGCAAATGCACCAATAACATGAACACACTCAGTTTCCTAGAAACTATTTTAAGTCCAACACGTTGGATTTGTTTGTGAGGTAAAGAGCAAAACAGACACAACATCCTGAAGCAATAACCCAAAAGTGGACCTGCGCTTTAAATATTCAATAGTTGGCTATTTTATTCTTTTGTTATGTCTAAATGACGGCTCAAAATGATATGTTAATGTCAGGCTTACAGGTACACTTGTGGTGAGAAGTTTCCTCGTCATGGGCGTGAATGTCGTGGCAATTTGAGGCTTTTAATGATTTTCTTTGAACTGTTCTTTGTCCGGGTGGAATGATTGTACAACATACATCTTTAATGACTTTAAAATGCAGAAATTGAACGGACAAGTTTAAAGTTATGTGGATTTTCTCTGATCCACACAGGGAGAAAAGTATACATACATTCACTTAAATCTCTTAATAAGTGGTGATGAAAGTCCTGCAGTGTTGTTTAACTACAGTTGGCTGTTTCTCTTTACCAAAATAATAAAAAAGAAAGAACACAGATAGAACTTCAGAAGGTCTCTTGAAATTTCTAAACAACTCCAGATTCCAATATTATCAGCAAGTGTGTGTAAGTACAAGTTATTCGAACAGTGCGACTACTCTTAAAACCAGGAAACCAACCAATTTACATGAATTTGACCATTTCTGCCAAGATGAATGGTAAGTGGCTTGTTGATGGCTACTAAATGCATCTTGCTGTGGGACATTCAACTATATGTTAGTGAGCCTGTGTATATATGCTGTTGACCCTGTGTGGATTAGAGAGAACCTAAAATAAATATAAACTTGTGTACCTAGTTCTTGTTTTCTAAAGTGGTTAAAGATGTCTGCTGTACAAGAACAGGTCGAATAAATCATTAAAAGATGTAAATGACCGTGGCATTCATCCACATGATTAGTGCATGTACACTTGTGACCACGCCATTTTTATAGGTGTTTATTGGAACGTGGCACTGAGAGTGAAAATATACTAAATGGTACTGAATTGAACTTTAAATACGTATATTTAATGACAGTAGTGTAAGTTCTGCCAACACGTGTGTTATTACTCTTCTAATCATGGCCAGAGTGCAGGCTGCTGTGGGACTATGTGTATCAGTTGCTTTGTGATGACCGTTACCAAGAATACATTCGATGGGAAGATCCGGACAGCTTGGTTTTCAGGGTGGTGGACCCCAATGGATTGGCACGGCTCTGGGGAAACCACAAGGTGAGTTCCCAGTTCTCTGTGCTTCATCCATCAGGAAAAACGGCTACACAGGTGGAGAATAAAACAAAACAGAAAAAAGCAGGGAACACTGGGGAAAAGTGAATAATGTAGTGCATGACTTGCATGACTAATGATGCATGATCTCTTTTTACAGAACCGAGAAAATATGACGTATGAGAAAATGTCTCGGGCTTTACGGCATTACTACAAACTGAACATTATCAAAAAAGAAAGAGGACAAAAACTCCTTTTCAGGTCTCGTCTCTGCTCCTTTCTTTGTCATCTGCTTTCTATTTTCCTCTTAAATAACATTCAAACTCATCCTTCCTGCCTGTTCGCCGCCTCCATTCAGGTTTCTGAAACTCCCTCAAGATATCAGGAAACAGCAGGTCGAGGCTTCCGGCGCCCTGGAGCACACTCCACCTCACGATGGCGACTTCCCGGACTCCAGTCCTACACAAGAGTTCTCTGAAGACCACTTTGAGGTTTCCCCTGATCGGACGTCTCCACAGCCTCCTCCGACTGGTGCACCAGTGAGATAGAATAAAACCGTGGATCATGTGTAGCAGCACGGCTCTTACCGAATAAAATAGGAGGTTGTAATATATTTATCTCGTGGTTTGAGCTTTCAGGGGAGGAAAAAATGCATGTACAGTCTGAAAAAACACAGTTGTGTTGTTTACTGTGAGATTATTTTTTTTTTTTTTTTCTCTGAATCAATGTGTGTATAACTGTGATCTGGGTAAACACTAATATTAAGAGTGAGAAAAACTGTGAAATTAATCACAGAATTATCCAGCCAGCAAAACTTAAAATTATCTGCTTCGTTCAATATAATCACATAACAGAGTTATTTTCATAAACTTTACAGGTCTTGCAGCTATGGGTTGGAAATGACTACAGTCCAATACGAGTTTAATAACATAAGAAAGGATAAATAACTGTTTTTGTTTTGAATGCTGGTTAATATTCAAGATTGTTTCCACCACTAGAAAAAAATTGCCATCAATAAGTCAAAATGTCAGGTTATTATCTCCCATTTTTGGTACGGTATCTGAAAGTTTCAGCTTACGTAGTAATACCTTGAAATCTTCAGCGTAGCTCAGATTGGGATTTTTACAAATTGTTATTTTTTTCAGTGGTGGAAAGCAGCTTTTTCTATCCGTAGGTTAAGTATTTGGTGTTTCATTGTGTGTGTGTGAAAAGTTGCATTGAACTTGCTTTGGAAAAATAAATATTTTAATGTATACTTTATTGTCCCTGAGGGGAAATTTCTCTCTGCATTTAACCCATTCACTCAGTGAAGCAGTGGGCAGCCACTGGACACCCAGGGAGCAGTGTGCAGGGACGGTACCTCGCTCAGGGACACCTCAGGGCAGCCGTTCAGTGGATTTGAACCCCCAACCTTCCGATCATGGGGCAACCACTCTACCTACTGAGCTATCCCAATTATATATGTTGGTAAAACATTTCATATAAATGTTTTTCTGAGATGAAAATGATAATGTTAACTTCTTATGACAAGCCAAACGTCAGGACAAAAATAGATCGTTGCTAAACAATTGCAATATTCACTCATGACAGTTGAATGGTCTGAATTTTGCCAGGAGGGGGTGCTGTTGTAAATTTAATAGGATTTACAATTCAATGATTCAAATACTCGTATTTCCTACAGTGGTTCAGCTTTTGAATATTTTTAGTTTTAAGGAAAAGACAAAAAGTCACCACATGTTATAAGACAGGCCTTAAACAAGACTGGCTGAGCCATTTACTCGTCATCTGCGGATGCTCGTCTTTTACTACGCCCATCTTTGACAATGCAGTTTTTACAGTATGGGCCTAAAAACATTTTGACCTATTAGGTACAATAACTCTGTTCAGCTGGAGCTGTAGAATTCGTAAAATAGAGGCTTGTGTAGAGTGTTTCACAGGCTTACATATCCATCTCCACTTTGTCAGTTTGATGTTAATTAAACAGATCAGACAGATGGCAGCACAGACGTAGACTGTAAACTGACATTTCAGCTTTTTTTGTCCCCACCTGAATGCAAATCAGTTCGATAATTTACTTATTCAACATGTCGATTTGATCCAAATAGTATAAAAGCCGCATCTGTTACATTGAGATTAAGTTCATTTGAAACTGTCTAGGTAGCTGGCATGGTTTGAGCAAAATACCAGAGCAGCTTACATTACATCAATGTCTCCTCTAATATCCAACACTGCAAAAATAAGTCAGCTTTGCTTAAAAAATGCATGTAAAGTACCAAGTAAAGTAAAGTTAAGAAAGTTAGAAAAGCTAGTTTATTATTGGTGCATAATGCTTAATGAGGTACACAACAGACATACACCAAATTAACCCCTTAAGCCCCAACGCCTCCTGATACGAGGGCAAAAGGCAGGAGATCAGTTAGGCTTGGAGCTTAAGAGGTTAATTTAATTTTAAGAAAGTCAAGAGTCGCCTACTTGCAGACAATAGTAACATTATCTGTCAGGAGTCAGACATCTCATGTGACTCCTGTGTCCAACAGGCAACACTGCATGACGTAAAGATCAGGCGGAAGTCAGTAATTGCTACAGGAGCCTGGGTGATGCTAAATCACTGTTTCCAACTTTAGAAACCTCACCACATTAACAACACGACTGAAGTAAAGGTCACAACTCGACAAAACGAGTGTTTTAATCTTAGACATTAACAGTCCCATTAGCCTCCAGTGCAGAACCTTCTACAGGGAGTGCAGAATTATTAGGCAAGTTGTATTTTTGAGGAATAATTTTATTATTGAACAACAACCATGTTCTCAATGAACCCAAAAAACTCATTAATATCAAAGCTGAATGTTTGTGGAAGTAGTTTTTAGTTTGTTTTTAGTTTGAGCTATTTTAGGGGGATATCTGTGTGTGCAGGTGACTATTACTGTGCAGAATTATTAGGCAACTTAACAAAAAACAAATATATACCCATTTCAATTATTTATTTTTACCAGTGACACCAATATAACATCTCCACATTCACAAATATACATTTCTGACATTCAAAAAGAAATCAGCGACCAATATAGCCACCTTTCTTTGCAAGGACACTCAAAAGCCTGCCATCCATGGATTCTGTCAGTGTTTTGATCTGTTCACCATCAACATTGCGTGCAGCAGCAACCACAGCCTCCCAGACACTGTTCAGAGAGGTGTACTGTTTTCCCTCCTTGTAAAGCTCACATTTGATGATGGACCACAGGTTCTCAATGGGGTTCAGATCAGGTGAACAAGGAGGCCATGTCATTAGTTTTTCTTCTTTTATACCCTTTCTTGCAGCCACGCTGTGGAGTACTTGGACGCGTGTGATGGAGCATTGTCCTGCATGAAAATCCTGTTTTTCTTGAAGGATGCAGACTTCTTCCTGTACCACTGCTTGAAGAAGGTGTCTTCCAGAAACTGGCAGTAGGACTGGGAGTTGAGCTTGACTCCATCCTCAACCCGAAAAGGCCCCACAAGCTCATCTTTGATGATACCAGCCCAAACCAGTACTCCACCTCCACCTTGCTGGCGTCTGAGTGGGACTGGAGCTCTCTGCCCTTTACCAATCCAGCCACGGGCCCATCCATCTGGCCCATCAAGACTCCCTCTCATTTCATCAGTCCATAAAACCTTAGAAAAACCAGTCTTGAGATATTTCTTGGCCCAGTCTTGACGTTTCAGCTTGTGTGTCTTGTTCAGTGGTGGTCGTCTTTCAGCCTTTCTTACCTTGGCCATGTCTCTGAGTATTGCACACCTTGTGCTTTTGGGCACTCCAGTGATGTTGCAGCTCTGAAATATGGCCAAACTGGTGGCAAGTGGCATCTTGGCAGCTGCACGCTTGACTTTTCTCAGTTCATGGGCAGTTATTTTGCTCCTTGGTTTTTCCACACGCTTCTTGCGACCCTGTTGACTATTTTGAATGAAACGCTTGATTGTTCGATGATCACGCTTCAGAAGCTTTGCAATTTTGAGACTGCTGCATCCCTCTGCAAGATATCTCACTATTTTTGACTTTTCTGAGCCTGTCAAGTCCTTCTTTTGACCCATTTTGCCAAAGGAAAGGAAGTTGCCTAATAATTATGCACACCTGATATAGGGTGTTGATGTCATTAGACCACACCCCTTCTCATTACAGAGATGCACATCACCTAATATGCTTAATTGGTAGTAGGCTTTCCAGCCTATACAGCTTGGAGTAAGACAACATGCATGAAGAGGATGATGTGGACAAAATACTCATTTGCCTAATAATTCTGCACTCCCTGTATACTCTGAAATATCAGTCAAGTAATTATAAATTAAATATTGACTATCACTCTTATATATGATACTGATGAACAGAAGATCGCAGAAGCGTTTTATTGGCAACAGCTGGGAGTTGATCAGTTTATGTGCACTCAGTAAAACTTTCCACCTTCTCTCATCTTGTTTAAAGTGTTTTTATTCAAATAGTATATATGCGAAAGTATTTTGGTTTATGCATTGCAACCATGGAGCTACACAACCTCCCAACATTAGAAATCCTTGTTTTACCCCTGTTCACATGAGCGTGACCAACATGCTATGTCTAATTGCAATGAATTTAAAAACACTGACTGTGAAACCCTCTCCCAAGATCTGAGTGGATAGTTCATCTAAGTTCGCCTTAGCTTGTTCTCCATTTAAAAAAAAAAGCTTTTCTCCATTTACAATATTTAAACAGATCATTGAAAATGACCCCCGGAGTTTCCAGTTATCAGTACACTGAAGGTCCTCAGTCCATCTCCTTTTCTGGATCAGGGTTCCTGGCCACCTACCAGTTAGGCGTCGCCCAGTGCTTCCTACATTATGCACCCTGGATACTTCACTCCGCACCTAGCATCCTTGGCTCATCTGCTGGTTCTCTGGTAGCAGCTGCTGTGGTTTGTGAAATGAATTTAAGTAAGTGACTCTTTCTTATGTTCTGCAATGACTTCTGTTGGATGTATTCATTACACATTTATTCCCCCAATCCTCTAATTCACAGTTACCATTCGGGATGAGATGATTCATTTTGCCAAGGAAGTGAAGTCTTTTACCCTTGGACCACTGAACCCCTCAATCAAGTTTTTTCACTGGCTGGAATGTATTTTAAACAAGCATCTTCCGCCTAATGCGCACCAACTGGCCAACCGTCGCCTTGCTGTTACCATGACCCGTCTGACGGATGGCGAGCAAATTCTCATGTCTGATTTTGACTCCAAAGAAGATGTAGTACAGGTACGCTTGCTCTGCTGTTTTGGAGCTCAGAAATAAGAAAAGTAAAAAACAAACCTTAATAACTATGTTGACTAAAAACTGTTGTGTGCTGTGTTCAGGCACTGCTTTGTAGCTGTTTTTTGCCTGGTTACTGTGGTTTTGTACCTCCATCATTCAAAGGAGTAGTGAGTATTTGGTGGCGTCAAAACTTCCCTCCACGCACCTTGTGAGCCCTGTTTTCAAAATAAAAATCCCAAATGTTAATTTCTGCTGCAGTTCTATTTGGATGGTGGCTTAAGCGGCATTCAGCCTATAGCGCCTGGATCCTCCAGTCGCACACTGACCGTGTGCCCATTTTCTGGAGAGAGTGACATCTGCCCTGGCGACGCACCATGTTGGCTGGACATTGTAACGCATGGTGTCACTTTAAAGGGCAATTTGGACAACAGCTTCAGGTTCATCAATGCCATTTACCCAACTTTGGAGGTCAGACCCAAACTATATGTGGCCATATCCTATACTGCCTGTATCCCCATCTCTATCCTCAATCTATTATTGTGTAATAGTTTGTGTTTAACATTTTTAGAAATATAGCAAAGGAAATTAAACATTACACTACAAAACATTACATTATTTTTGATCTTTTATTTCATTGTGTCACATTTAATTATGTTTATGTCATTTTTTCCTCTCCAGAATATGGAGGAAGCCTTTCACAGTGGCTACAAAGATGCTGTTCATTTCCTTCAGAGTAATGGTGAGTCAGGTGCTAGTTACAAAGAAAGAAAGAAAGAAA